AATCATTATATTCTTTCTTTCACAAAAAATCAAAAAGTTAAAAAAATCAAAAACTCTTTTCAAACCAAACTTTTTAACCCTAGATTAAAATAGTCAAAAAATCAAAAAGCCAACCTGCTTTCCAAACCAAGCCAACATGAAACTCTAGAGATTTTATTTTTTTTCTTTTCAAAATGATATATTTTTTTATATATATAATTGATTAATTCTACAAAAATTGATAATAAAATAGTACTTAGTTTTTCCGTCGCTCTCTTTTTTGTTATGACTAAGGATTATTTTGAATATGATTTATAAGTTGATTTTTTTATTTTTTATGAAAAGATATGTAAAAAAATAAAAAGGTGAAGTGATAGAAATAAATTAATAAATTGTTTATTTATGTTGTTGCTAAAGGAGGCCTAAATTACAATAAATCCCTCAAAACTACCACTTATTTGCATTTTGCTTTTATGCACTTTAAAAATCAACAATTAATCACTCTAAAATATTATCTTGTTATATTTAACACATTCAGTTAGAATTATATTAGAGTATAAACCAAATCAGGTCATGTCTGAAACACATAACACACTTATTGATTTTTTATAACAATAATACTATCTTTTTGTTATTTAATTTATATTTTACCTTCATTACCTTAGTGACAAAATACAAATGAGATTATTAGATAAGGACAATATTGTCTTAAAAATTCAATAAATATGTCATGTATTTCACACATGATCTAATTTTGTATAAATTTCTTACAAAATCCCTACGAAAATGATTAAGTATAACAAAATAATACATGGTTAACTGTTGAGTTTTAAAGTTTAGGAGGCAAAAGTGCAAATTTTACGCTTCCTTATCTTAATGACAAAATGTAAACATGATCACCAAATAAAGATAATATTATGTTAAAAATTCAATAAATATGTCAAGTAATTCACATATGAGCTGATTTTGTATAAATTACTCGTAACCATCAAATAAAGATATCATTGCTTTAAAAATTCAATAAATATGTCATGTATTTCATACATGAACTGATTTTGTATAATTTTTTTTTTATAAAATTCTAATAAAAAAGAATAAATATAACAAAATAATGAACTGCTAAATTTTAAAGTTCAAAAAACAAAAGTGCAAATGAGTCCTAATTTAATAGGATTTACTATAATTCACCTTTTTATTTTGAGAAAATTATGGATCAATGGCAGTTACAGAAAAATATTACATAATCATGAAAGAAATTCACTCTGCTTGGTTTAGAGTTTTCAGAAATAATTTTATGAGTTTTTAAATCATATTTTTTTTTTTATTCTTAGTGATTTTTAAAATATTTTAATCAATTGTTTCTTAAAATTTTTAGATCCATTTAATTTAGATATACTTAAAAAGTATAGAATTTATACAAAAAATATTAAAAATTCATTGAATACAAAAAAAAAAAAAAATGTACTGAATTTTCATATTTTTTTTGTATTTTTTTTTTATATTTGGTGAATTTTTTAAAAAAAATTTCACAAATATTATATTTTTGTAAGTATATCTAGATTAAATATATCTAAAAAAAAATCGCATAAAAATTAAAAAAAATTAGTAAAAAAATATGAAAAATAAAAAACTCAATTATACAAGAAGTGAGTTAAACCAACAAGTTCATTATGCTTTTAATTATCAATATTTATAAAATTTATCACTTATTTGTATTATTTTTCAAAACCATCCCAATGCCAAATTTCTCTTTATTTTCCACTCTTATCTCTTCAATTTATGGGTTGGGCTTCTCTTATGTTGCTCATATCAATTTGAGAGAGTATTTGAGTTTTGTAGGCTCATTTTGGAATTAATTTTGATAATCTCAATCGTTTACTTTTTAAGATTCATTAAAAATAATATTTATGCAAAAAATAAAGATAATCAGATATTGATAGTTATATGTTTAAATTAATTTTGTATTATAAAAAATGAATAGTTATTTTTAAAATTATATTTGTCGTATATTTTTTTTTAAACAAATACGATTCAAACATATAACTATTGATATTTAATAATTTTAATTTTTTACATGAATATTCTACTCTATAAGTCCTAAAAAGTGACAATTGAGATCACCAAAATCGATTTCAAAATGGTACTAAGAGTATCACCAATTGTTCATTAGATATTTCATCAAATTTGAGTAAAAGTTTGATCTAATACGATGCAGTTTAAATCTTTTATCAAATATAGCTAATCGTCGGGCCGGTCATCCGGCCAGTCGTCTATCTAGAGTAAATTTTTATCAAATTTATCTAAAAATTAGTTATCTAGGAAGACGTCCGACCCAATTGTCACCCACAAATCTTTCATAAAATATGGCCAGTCGTTAGGCTGGTCATTTGGTCGGTCATCTGTTTAAAGTAAATTTTCATTAAATTCATCTAAATATTAGTTGTTTGAGAGGGTGTCATGCCTAACTGTCATATACAAATTTAATGAAATGATAAATATTTCATTCATTTAATGAAAAAAATATAGCTTCTTTTATTTGATACCAAATTGATAAAATGATTAAATTATCATTTTTTTCAAGTCTAAACGCCCAAAGCCAAATCTTTAGGGTGTGTTTGTTTAGACGGACTGGATAAATGGTGATTATAATCCATCGAACTATTAGTCCTAGGATACATTGTTCCCGGACTATTTAGTTGGACTGGATTTGTATCCTATGTTTGTTTAGTCATGAGATTAGATATCTGGATTGAACTATTTTTAATGAATCCAATGTTTGTTTATGATATTATGGAAAAGGATAAATGCTCAAATGACTATTTTATCATTTTCAATTATTTACTATGTAATAACAATATTAAACATAGCTTTAATATTTTAATTATTTTTAGCTAGATTAAATAAAAATTTATTTTATTTTATTTTTTTTACAATTAAATAAATTTATTTTTAAAAAATTAAATAAATTAAATATAAATAAAATATATGTTATTTTTTTATTAAAATTTTAAATAAATTTATTTTAAATAATAATAATAATTAAATAATGAAATAAAATAAAAGATCTATTAAAATTTAAATAGTGAAATTAAATAAAATATAAACAAAATTTTAAAATAAAACATCAATAAAATATCTATAAAAAAATATTTTAAAAAATTAAATAAAATTATTTTATTTTTAAATGGAGACATTTAATTTTTTTTGAATTTTACCAAATATAATACATAATTAAATAGTAGAGGGCAAAAATATAATTTTATTGTCTAATTCCATAGGAAAAGTTATCTCATAATTTTTATCCCACTTCTATGAGATAGGATAATCCCATAAATATAAGACTAATAGTCAGAAAAGACTATGAATCCAAAACAAAATTTTTAAAACAAATAATAAACTATTAATCTAAGGCCATGTTTGTTTGGGTGGATATGAGCTTGGGATTGGATTAATAGTCCAATAAAATTATTAATCCGATGTTTGGTTAAACAATTGAAGTACGGACTAATTATTTTAAACTTGACTATTAGTTAAGATAGGATACATAATCCAACGGATTGATAGTCCTAGGACTATTAGTCATAGGAATACTAATCCAGTCCGCCCAAACAAACATGGCCTAAATTTGTGTTTGATTCAAGGGATTAGAGGGGAATTACTTCCTATTCGGATTGCTTATCGAATGAAGTAGGATGCCCATCGTTTGGTGCTATTTTAGTCCACCGGACATGTAGTCCGACCGAACTCCATATCCCTCATATGAGGGACTAAACAATCCTGGGGGGGGGGATTATTTCTATGGGATTGGTATTCCATGAGACTAATGTGTGAAATGTCCTTTTTCTGATTTCAGGCGACACATGGTATAACAGAACTGGAAGTCGGCAAGAGTAATCCTAGCATTCTCTTGTTTTGCTAAGGCTATGGTACCATTAATAACTCGGTACGAATTAATTATTCAAGCCCCAAAGGTGAGTCAATTAAAACCACATTCAAACCCATTTTCAAAAATATGATGAACATGCAAACATGCATGGATTCAAACCAAATTCAATCTTCAAAGCTTGTTCAAATGGACTCATTTCTTCAAGAACATGATGAATTCATGGAGTATGACCAAAAGATGGACATGCATGTAACCTTTTGCCATGAAAACAACTCAAACATCTACATTACAAACATGCATGCATGAAATGAGTTCCAAATCAACAACAATGAACCAATTCTAGACTTGAATCACTAGAGGCTCAAGAATCTTACATGAATGAGCTTAAACACAACAAAGAGGGGTTGAATTCCTTACCTAGAGCTTTAGTTACAAGGTGAGGAAGCTGAGAAGCTCAAATGTACAAAAACTCCTTCAATTCTTCAAGATTCTCAAGCTAAAACAACAAGAACAATTCTCTCTCTCTCTAACTCTCTTCTAGGTCGGTTAGAGGCAACACAAGAGCTGATGAAATGTTGATTTTTTAATCAGATGCATTAAGTGTATAAGCCTCAAAAGGTTTGAGGTAGTGGCCCACTACAAGGCTGAGGGGAAATGGCTGAGGAAATATTGATTTTTAATCAGATGCATTAAGTGTAATAAGCCTCAAAAGGTTTGAGGTAGTGGCCCACTACAAGGCTAGTTGGGTAGATAAGTCCAATTCATGCGATTAACTCATTTTAATCTAATTTAATCATACCTAATCAGTTTTCGGATAAATATTCCATAAAAATTACATAAATTATGTTGATCATAAAACACCGATCAATTTCTAATTCGACCGCCGATAAGGCCTTCAATTAGCAGTTTAAACGTATAAGCAGGAACAGATAATCATACTGTCAACAGATAGAATGCAATTTAACTAACATATACTCAATCAATTCGGTTTCCAATTTCAGTCAGTCAGTTCAGTACTTTAATCAGTTCAATTATCAGTCAGTTATCAGTCATTATCAGTTCCGTCTAGCAGTAATCGGTGATTATCGGTAATCAATCAGTCCTTAATCAGTAAACAGTATGAGGGTTGTTACACTCTCTCTCTCTCTCTCTACTCTACTCTTTAATTCAATCAGTTATGACCGTTGAGGAAGTCCTCCAAGGCGGCGGCGGCGGTGGCGATATGTGCAAAACCATCGAAGTCGCCGTCGTAGAACCACCACAACTCAACCCTTTCACGAAGCTCTCGCCGCCGAGCCTCGACGACTTCGACCCCACCGACGACGACGGGTTTTATATTCCTCCTCTGAACTTCGCGATGGTCGACAATGGCATTTTCAGGTCCGGTTTCCCTGACACCACCAACTTCCCCTTCCTCCAATCCCTAGGCCTCCGTTCCATCATGTAAGTAAAAAAAAAATTCAACCTCATTGATTATATGGCAGTGATGTGTTGGAAAATTATGTGTCAGTGAATGATTTGAATTTGCTGATTATATACAGATTTGATGATTATAGGGCTTTGCTTTTGCAGATGCCTTTGTCCAGAACCGTACCCGGAGGCAAATGCCGAGTTTGTCAAGTCAAATGAGATTCAATTATTTCAATTCGGGATCGAAGGTTGCAAGGTAAGTCTTGTAATTTTTGTTTATTTATTTATTTTTTGTGTTACTTTTTTACTTATTAGCAGTGGGTGCAAACTCGATTTGTTTGTAATTTTACATTTTTGATGATGGAGGGGCCATTTGATGAAAAAAGAAATCATTTAGCAGAACAGTAATTGAAATTGACCGATACAGGAAAGGCATTATTGGAAAAAGAAAAAGATAATAGTATAGATAGTATAGTATAGATTATCAATTTTTTTTTTTAATTTTTTTAATTTTTTTTGATTTGGTATGGTAATCTGAGTGTGACATGGAATGCTTGTTCTTTGTGATGTGGAGGAACAGGGGATTGTAATAATGCAGTTCATTATGTGAAGTGGATTGAGTTCACTGTTTAAGACTGAACAACCATGTGAAATCTTTGAATTTTAGGTATATGAGTAATTGCTGAAATGAGATGACAATGTTTGTACTATATGGACATATGGGGTGTTTATCTATTCTTTGTTTGACCTTGCAACAATTTTATCTATTACAAGTTTTAGTATAGTTGTTAATCTTAAAATATTAGTATGTATTCCTATTAAAGAAACCTTATTGTTTATTTATTTTGGTGTTTTGTTGAATTTTATTATTAGGAGGATCATTCTCTATCCAAAAGCATATCTAAGCGGATCCGGTCCATCTGCCATAGTTCACGCAATACAACAGTACATCCCAATATAGAATTTGAGGTTATAGAAGATTGAATTCTTGCAAAGTGCTAACATATAATAATGTTTTCCATCTAAAGTAATCATTTTTTTTTCTTACTATAAACACTCATTTCTATGGTCAAGTGCTCTTTTCCATAATTATCAAAGCATTGTTCAAATCAATTTATATCAATGCTTTGTTATGCTGTCCAATTTGAAGGCTTCAAATTTTTTTTTCTGCATGCTATTGCTCTTTATATATATAAATATAAATACATTTGTGTGTTATATTTTCTTTATTTTTACTGCGCAACTATTTTTGTGTCATTGTTTTGTGCCCTTTACATATATAAACCCGTTACTCTCCTTTTGAGTTATAGTTGAAAGAAAACAGGTTAATGCCTTTTCCTTTTATCGTTTACTTTGGATCAATTGGATTCACATTGTATTATTCTTTTATGGTTTCACCTTTTAGTTTTGGTCTCCAAGAACCGCAGTAGTAGAATTTTGGGTAAATTACACTGTTGGTCCCCTAGTTTGAGCAAAGTTTTATTTTGATCTCCGTAGTTTCAATTTAATTATTTTAAACCTCACGCTTTTAATTATGTTTCAATGTGGTCTATCTATTGGTTGACATTAGCATTTTGGCCCAAAAAAAGCAACTCACACAAGAGAGAAAATGAATAAGTTACACTGGTGGTCCCTATAGCTTCTTTCAAATTTGACTTTGGTCCCTCTAGTTTCGCATTTGTTGTTTTTCTGTCCAAAATGTTCACAACAATTGACAGAGGGACCACTTTGACACAAAATTGAAAGTATATGGTTTAAATTGATAAAACTGAAATTACGGGGTCCAAAGTGAAATTTTTCTCAAACTAGAAGGACTAATGGTGTAAGTTACCCTAGATTTTTTAAGGGAGGGAGGTGTGGCTAGGATTGGAATTCGACTGTGAGTTGGGGAAGCAAGGGCCCTTACCACTGGGCCATCCCCTTTGCTCTTGTTATGCCTTATTGATGCATGGAAATTTAAACAACTTACCTTAAATTTGATTACTTCATAGACTTTATTAAACATTTGGTTTTTGATTCATTCAAGTTAAAGTATCCCTTGAACTTTGATATATGAGAAAGGTCAAGTAGGAGCATGCTTCACGATGAGATTAATCTGTCTAGGGTTGATGGTGGTTGTCACTTTTATGGTGAAGACGACTATGTGAATATTGATGTTGTGGTGCCTGGTGTCAATTTTGAGAGAGGAGTTTTCATATGTTTGTGGAGAAATTCATTAGGCCTTTTCTGGTTATTTGTAATAGTGCATAGACCTTTGCCTTTTTTTTATTGCCATTATGTCTAGACCAAAATGGGTATAACTGAACAAGATGCGTCTTGAAGTTAATTACTTTCTTTCTTTATGATTGATAATGTTAGGGTTTTAAAAGAATGTGTAAGGGTTTAGTACATTTCTCTGGGACATACAATCTTATATGAAATTCAATGTGGTTTTGCTAAAGTAAACTCATGTTTGTGTTACATTACGTTGTTTGGAAACATGCTATTTTAGTAATTTTTTGATTTTTCACAAAAAGATGTGTAAAAAAATAGAGGGAGTGATGTAACAACTTATAGTGACTTTTTGGCTTTTTGGCTAAACTACTTAGTCCCCAAACAAGTTAATATCATTCTTCCCATCGTTTCAATTTCAATTTGTTGAAACGGTATAGGCTTGGTTCAATTTATTGTTAGCTCTGTTTATTTGGTACAATAGCTCATGGGTTAGTTGAAAGGAATTCATACATATACAGCTAAGAGAATTGGGGATTATATAGGCACTTGCTGGGTACTTGTGGTGAACATAAGGTTTTTGTGGTTAGCAGGAATTTATTTATCACCTTGAATATGCCAATGATCCTGCCAGGCAGTCAAAGTGATAGAAAGATTGGAAATAACGTATCTTATAATCTAGGAGACTGATTGTGAGCTTGATGGTTCAATGATATGTTTATGTTGAGTAGGTTATGAATGTTACAATTTTCATAATTTTGAGGATTTAGTGTTATATGAATTGATCTTTTTGTTTTAAATTGATAATTGTGGAATGTTTCAATTGTGTAATATACCTGATTGCTTGAATGGTGTAAGTTCTTTAATTTGAATTAATTCTCCAAATAAAAGAACTGATATTTGAAATTGTGTATCCAGGAACCTTTCGTAAACATTCCAGAGGATACTATTCGTGAAGCACTAAAAGTCGTTCTTGGTATCATAAGTTCTTAATACTTTACACTTTATTTCTGCCAATGTAGAATGTTACTGATTGTCTTTGCTTATTTTCTCTCTTTGCCTGCAATACAGATGAAAAGAATCACCCACTTTTGATCCATTGCAATCGAGGAAAGGTATGTGCTGTACTCTGGTTTTTCTGCGACTCAACTGATTTTTAAGTATCAAAACCGTCTAAGTTGTTTTTGTTTTGTTGTTCAGCACCGAACTGGTTGTCTGGTTGGGTGCTTTAGAAAATTGCAGAGATGGTGCTTGTCTTCCGTCTTTGATGAGTACCAGCGCTTTGCAGCTGCCAAATCAAGAGTCTCAGATCAGAGATTTATGGAATTGTTTGATGCTTCTAGCTTCAAGCATCTACCAATGTCATTTTCATGTTCGATGAGGTAAACAAACCAAACCAGTAACGTTTCAAAGGCTTTTGCTTCCTTTCATTATTGAGGAGAGCATCTTAGTTCCCTGCATTTGGATTGGAATAAACTGGAAAGAAGTGATGATTTCTTGGAATGCATTTGAGCAGTGAAGGAATGATCTTTCATTTTCCTACTGAGGATAATAAAAGGCATTAGTCAGCATCTCTTGTCTCAAGTTTTCCTGACCTCCCTCCACCACTGTGCTCTTTATTCCTTGTTCTTTTGCTAGGTAGTATTCATATATATGTTGACTTAATTAAACATTGTTGTAATTATGTTGGGTCTTTCCAATTTTCATTACATAACTAGAATGTTCACATCCGATTTCTGAAAGGATGTTTGTGATATGTTCCAGGATTGGAGGAGCTTATCTTCTCCATCCCTGGTTCTTCCTGCCAACGATCATAATGAAAAAGTGTGGCAGCTAGAAAAGCTTTTTGTACCATGAATTCTAGTTTGTCATTAAATATTAGATATATTATTTTTACTTGTAGAAAGATTCTTTATGGCCTATGCATGAAGGAACTTGATAACTAAGAGAGGATCCCTTGAAACATTTTGTTTCCATTTGGATAGATAGATTTCAATGGATGGATTTGAGGTCAATATGGCTGATTCCAGTTGAGTTTGCAATAGGTGCATGTGTCCATCTTTGTTATGTGGCATGTGGTGGCCTTGCAAGGCAACACATGGGCAATGACAAGTCTCCACATGTCCAACTAGAGGTGGCAAACTTAATCCGAAACCATGAATCTGCCCAATAATATCCATTTAAAATCTGTTTAAACTTGCTCAAATCCATAAACGAGTTTAAATGGGTGGCATCTAGCAAACCTAATTAAAATTGAATTTAAATGATTGGATACGAGTACCTGTTTTCAAACAATTACCACCACATCTACCTCACCACCACCACCATCGTTGAAGCTAAACCACCACCACCACCACCACCGCTTCACAACTGTCATCATCACCACCTTCACAATTACAATCACATTCCACCACTATCACCACCATCGCTACTGCTACCAGCACCTCCACCTCCACCTCCACCTCCACAATATGTTGAATTCAATAAGGTAAGCAGGTTGGTCGGGTTCATTTGTCCAAACTATATCTAATTCAATTCAACCTGTATCCAATTCAATTCAACCCATATCCAATTCAATCTAACCTGCTTAAACCTGTTTGTTAAATTAGTTGGTTTGGGTTGGATTGTTTTAAACGCATAACTCGTTTTGCCACCTCTATATCCAACTAAGTTTATGTACTAACAACTGTGCTAAGGCATCTCCAAGATCTCACATTCACTCCCAAGACCTTACCTCTAGGATCTAAACCATCTCCAAAATGAGATCCATCAAATGAAATTTGTACAATGCGATCCATAATCTCAAACTTACACATATCTCCAAAACAATTTAGGTTGAGTGCAGGGCCTAAGATTGTCACTTGGGATTATTGGAGGACTTGTGGCTTAAAATCTAGGGTTGGGAGATGTCAAGGTTACTGCTGGGGTACACCTTCACAAGTCTTACAATGAGAGGTTCTAACCAAGCCATGTGATGCTTGGGAAAGAGGGGGATGGTACTCTCTTTACATGGCGTTTCAGGGAGAAACAATCTTCTCCGGCCACAATTTGAAACTAAGAAGAATGTTTAATTTTTGTTGGTTGCTCTACTTACCCCAGTTAATTGCGGAATTAGACTACTAGTAATTAATCAAAGTAACTTTAAAGTAGATCATATCTTCATGGAGCTTTTAAATAAACCTACCAGATTTCTTTCCACACCCACATGTGTGATATTTCTCTTTTAAGGTACAAGATTTTTTGATAAAAAAGGTACAAGATTTCTAATGCATGTGGTGGGTATGTAGAGAAATTAATAGAAGCTCTCATATCCAGTGGCGGAGCCACATGGTGAGGGGTCACGTGCGGATTTTTTTTTTTTTTTTAACATATATGTATATATAAAATTTTAAACAAAAATAATATTTAAAATAAAATGTCAAAGGTATTTTCAAATTTATAAAAATAATAGTGATTATTTTATTGAAAATGAAATGATTACAATAAATTATATTTTTATGTATGAAAATTTTGTAAAAAAATCACAATATAAAAGTAATATCCATCATTATCAATATGCAAATATAATTAATCTCATTATATATATGTAAAAATTACTATAGTGCTAGTTATATTTGCATGTGGAGTTCACCCTTCATATATTGTTTTACTATTGGTTGGTGATATTATATATCAATAATGACGTGATATCATTATTATATAAAATTTTTACTCAAATTTTGTAAAATTTGATTTATCTTACCATTATATAATTTATTCTAAGACATAAACATATGACTTTTTTTACATTATCTACGATACACTAGTTACACGCAATTCTTTTCGATTTTACTCGAAGTTAATTGTAAAATTTTATGTGAAATACTTTTGTAATAATTTATTTGAGTTTTTGTACTTATTATTAATTCAAAAATTATTATTATCTTCTTACTGTTGGTTATGGGAAAAAAATTAAAATTATAATCAATAAATACCCTTTCTAATTTAATTTCATGGCTCTGCCACTGCCCCATATCTTCATCTTTTTTTAGTAACAACATGATGAAGAATTTTTGTTTAGTTGGTGCAAAACTTTATTTGGAATTATTTTACTTTATTTTTTCTATTTGACGATAGAAAGAAATAAAACTTAAGAATCAACCTTTGAAAGACGACAACATATAATGAATAATTATTATGTGGTGTAAAAAAATTACACTCAATTTAGTATTTTCATTTGATGGGAGCATGGGAGGTTTAGAATGTTCAGAGACTTATCATTTGACATAATTTTACACTAAGTAATAGCCCCAAGTTTGAACCCCCTGAACTACTGGCCCTATTATAATTCTTATGTATTGTAGTGTTGATAAAATAGTATTAAAGTATATTTTATAGACACAACAAAGAGAATGTAGAAAAAAACAATAGGAAAGAAAAATATTGTTTTTGCTCCACTTGAGATAAAACCAGTGGGGGAAACTATCCCCACTCATCCCAATGTTGGTCTTCCATTGACCTACAATTATATAGAATTTCACTAGATGTATTAGCTATAAAAAAAAATTCAGAGAGTGAAATTGAAGAACTTTAACCATTTGATTCCTCAATTATTATTATTGTTTTTTAAACAAAAATATTTCTTAAAGTATCTGAAATTTGTGTGCGCACCATCAACTGCTTGATATTGTCGGGAACAAAAGATCATAGACTACTCTTGATAGTGTAATGGAAATTTCTCTGTATCACTATGTAAAGAGGTCTTCTCTAAGCTATCACCAACCAATAAATCCATCCAACCTAGTAGTGTAGTCCTCTCCTCCCTTGGTTTAGAGGATCTCCACTAAAACCCTTTATCTCGAAAAGTTGCCTTTACTCTTTCCTCCTGCACCTCTAGTGATCCCTTGCTAGTTGAGTGCTTACCATCTTTTTAGATTACCTTTGTTAGACTTAATCTCACATTGCCGATCTAAGCCATTCAAGTTTTGTTTATATAATGCGATAGTCTCTTCAATAATTGTCAATTTATTTTGAGTTAGATGTCTTCACATGCACGTGAGAGAGTATTAGACTTAAATCCACATCGTTAATCTAAGCCACTCAAATTTAGTTAATATAATGTAATGGTCCATCTCTCAATCAAACTTCTCAATTATCTCCACGTGTTATCAAAGTTGCACGTGAGGAAGAGTGTAGTCTTAATCTCACATTTCCAATCTTAGCCACCCAAACTTTGTTATTATAATGCAATCAACCTCAATTTGAAACTAAGAAAAATGTTTATTTTTTGTTGGTTGCTCCACTTACACCAGTTGAATGCTGAATTCGACTACTAGTAATTACTCAATGGAACTTTTATTAGATTATATCTTTATGGTGCTTCTACACACACCTATCAAATTTCTTTCCACGTCCACATGTATTAGTATTTCTCCTCAAGATACTTTTTTTTTTTTTTTTTGCTGTGTTCTTTTCTAGTGCTTAAGTAGTCTGCAGTCAACTATCAACGGTTGATTTTTTTGGTATTTTTATTTTATTTTAAAATTAGGACCTACAATAGGGGAATATTCATGGTTTTTGTTTAGTGGGTGCAAAACTTTATCTAGAATTAATATTTTCCTTCTACTTGACACTAGAAAGAAATAAACTTAAAAATCAATCTTTCAAAGATGACAAGTTGAAAACATAAAATGAATAATTATTATGTATTGTTAAAAAAAAGCGCAGACAGTTTAGTACCCATTTTTTATGGGGTTTAAGAGGGGTAAATTCGGTACAATCCAATCATTTGATATATTTTTGCACAAAGTGACAGTCTTAAAGTTTGAGCTCATAATCTAAGGTTTAAGCCAAACAAACTCACAAAGTCCTCTCCAATAGCGTGTCAAAGAAAATGACAAAGTCATACCTTGAGCCAAACATGGTCATTCTTTGCCACATTAACTTTTCTACCAGAACCCAACTGTTTCTTCCTTGCGCAAATTATAAAAATTGTACTTCCCAGAGATTCCTGAAAAGACTTTGATGATTGAACTATTGCAATATTAGATAAACCAAAGTATTGTTCAGTGAAAAAATTCTGATCAACAATTTCGTTTTTTTATAATTTCTCCAAAATCCCAAAATTCCCCCCAATAAACCTAAAGTTAGTTGAATTTGGTAAGCAAGTTATGCCAAAATGGCAAATCACCATTGGAGGGACCTGATGGTGTTGCTGTGCCAGCAACCTGCTGTGTCCTTTTGTGGGAGGCCGTTCCGAATATCTTTTAATAATTAAACTGTTTATATTGTAGAATTTGTCAAGAATATTAATTACGTAAAAAATTAAATTAATCGAATATTCGTAACCCCATGATTAGATCCTCATTGTTTTTAAAAATTTATAAAAGTTATGTTAACTGTTAATTTTTATAAAAACAAATGTGCTTTTGTTATAAGGCTGTACATATCCAATCAACATAGTTTTTTACATAGTTGATCTACTCGACGAATCTTACAATATGAACAGTTTAGATTATCGAAAGGGGCTCGGGACGACACTCCATACGAGAGCACAATAGCCTATTGTGCCTTTGAGCACATCAAGATCTCCAAGACGATGCTCCACGAGAGAGTACAGCAGGATCCTCAAATCCCCATTAGAGTGGTTCAAGTAAAAAAACGCCTTTTCTGTATTGTAACAAGTCAAAAAATGACTTTGCAAAGTGATTTTAGCTTGAATCATTGGAGTTGGTCTGATAAGCCGAGTTTTAATTGACCCCTAATTATTATGTCTTGCTAGTGTTGATATAATAGTAGTTTTGAAAAATCTAGAAATCCCTTAAATGTTGATTTGTGATTATGTATCAATTTTAAGCAGTATATAACAATCCCAATCAAACAAACAAGACAAATCGACACAACGATTTTACGTGGAA